GCTCAGTTTAATAAGGCTCAAGAAGTGTATGAAGTTTTACTTCTTCAGACAACAAATGAGAGTGACAAGGCACCTATTTATAATCAACTAGGTATGATCAAACGTAATCAAAGAGAATATCCAGAAGCACTTACATTTTATAAAAAATCACTTGCTATCTATCAGAAAACACTTCCTCTCAATCATCGTAATCTGGCTATGTCCTATAACAACATCGGTGTGGTGTATGAAAGCATGGGTGATTATCCAAAAGCACTTTCTTATTATGAGAAAGATCTTGCAATTCTACAAGAATCACTTCCTTCTAATCATCCGGATTTGGGTTGTTCCTATAACAACATCGGTAATGTGTATCGCAACATGGGTGATTATCCCAAAGCACTTTCTTATTATGAGAAAGATCTTGCAATTCTACAACAATCACTTCCTTTCAATCATCCTGATTTGGGTATGTCCTATAACAACATCGGTATTATATATAAAGACATGGGTGATTATCCAAAAGCACTTTCTTATTATGAAAAAGCCTTGAAATTCGACAACAATCACTTCCTTCTAATCATCCTGTTTTGGGTGCTTCCTATGACAGCATGGGTTTAGTGTATGAGAAAATGGGAGACTATTCAAAAGCTCATACATTTTATGAACTTGCTGTACAAATTGCAGAGCAATCGTTACCAACAAACCATCCTAATCTTAAAATATATAGAAGAAATCTCGAAAACATAAAAAGGAAATTATAATTTTTTTCTGTATATCTTTTTGAAAGTAAATATTTTCTATAAGTATGTCGCAATAAAGATACGAATATATGATATTATAAAAGTATAAAATAGATGTTCAATCCACGTTTGCAGTGTCTTACTTATAATTTTCTCAAATAAGTATCTATAGAATGGAAGAATAGAGACATCTTACTTTGCACAACTTAAGACAATACTGAGAGTATACACTAATATTATGTGTAGTGCTGATACCATTTGTCGTTTTGCATTCTGTAATTTGTTCTATACAATAATTGATAGTTTCGATAGTACACAAACACACAGTATTACATTATTCAATATACACACACAGAAATTTTCAGTTTTTCTCATACTCTCGAATGCTATGTTCTCATCCTAATCAATAATGCAAAAATAATAATGAATTGCCTCAGTATATATGAAATTATTATCAAATAAGAACAAATCACTGCGAAAATGATCAGAAATTATTTATGTATATTTCAGTCACCAATGGATAGTAAAAATTAGTATATCTAAACGATATATATTAGTTATATATTTCATTGTTATCATTGTGTCAAATGATACATCTCATTGATTCACTTGAAATATCTTCTTTTGGCTTCTAGATTAATGATTATTTCAGTCAATATGTATATAGTCATCTTAGTCTTTCTCTGAGGTAATAAGCTCACATGATTAAGCAGTATTCTTACATGTTCTGTCTTCAAGCTATTTAGGAATCTATTAATCTTTACCATGAATATAAATATCGGTTTTATTTTTCAAAATAACATTCAGATAATAAATCCTTATACAATCATTTATATTTTTTTAATAGATGAAAACCACTTTTATTGAAAGATATATTTGAATGAAATCATGCTTTGAAATACATACATTATGTTTCCGTTGTATTCATAGTAAGGATAAATTTTCTTCTTACAGATCTTGAGGCAGATAGTCAGATTAAGATTTCATTAACATCAATAAATATTCTTTAACTTCAAGTAACAAAAATGATTCGATAATATTGACTCAATAGATTCTATGTTTATTGTATGTTACAATAAATAGGTATTTATCAATTATCATAGAAAAGACTAGATGGCACACAAGTCGAGACACATATGAGGAGTGCGATGCGAAGATCGATTTCAGTGATATAAATTTAACTTCTACTATAATCGTGCGTGCTGAGCATTTTGTGAAAACCTCAAAGTCGTTATTTCGAAATTGAACTTCGCATCATATTTCGCAAACGAGTCTCGACTCGTGTGCCATCTAGTCTCAACAACGTGTCAATCCTAAGTTGAACAAGTCACAGGACGTAACTAATGCGGCACGGCTCCAAATATGTTGCACTTAAAGGGATTCTTCTGAAATAAGAACATGCAATAAGGTGTGTTGTTTAAAATACTCCTTATATGTTTGTTAGCATATTTCTCTTTTCATAGAGATACCAGAGTGATTTTTGAAACAAACACGAGAGACTCTAAACTCACTCTCAGTGTATTCAATTGCTCTTTTTCCGTAAATTTGCTTCTTGATAGACAACGATGCTCATTCAAATTCGCTAGAAACTAATAACTACACTGGTGGTACATTTAATTTTGTATCAGTTCTATTCATATAAGCCAGTTCTCAACATACGTAACTAACTTAAATACCTGTCACAGTCAAAAAAAATTAGTTTTCTCTCTTAGAGTTATTTATATCCGTTGATAAAAGTCTTTTTTCTTAAGTTTTTCTGTACTATCATAGTTCGCATCAAATTTATGATCAATAAAGATATGATATAAGACTTTTCTTGCAGTAAGATATATATCATATTGAAATAAAACTGTCATATCATATCTTTACTCGGTGATATATATAATGCAACATATGGTAGTATAGAGACAAAGTGGTCGAAAGACTTTTGGTCAAGTATGTAGTTATATATCGTTTTCTTTAGAAGAGATAGTATTATTAGAAATCCCATATAAATTTTAGGACATATTGTCTATATTCTTTTAATAAACTCGATTACCAAGGATGTACTGGATAAAAAAGAGTTGAAAGTATTAAACTGTTTTATTTTATTTAGGGATAGAATAGAATATCCGTGTCTTCTTTAGATCAGAAGAAATCATTTTTGTTTGTTAACATTCAAGCGTTTTTCTTATTCCAAAAAAAACCTGTTTTATAGTAGACTTCAAGGTTTATACACGTTGAATCTTTGTGATTGTGCAATCGAATTAAATCTGAATGATTTGATGCAAATGTTTTTTCGATGATTTCAAGTATTTCTTTTGAAAAAATAAAGAACCTTTAAGAAATTAGTTATATACCAGACCGATGTTATTCTATGATTAAGATGATCTTGAAAAACGATGTTTTGACGGTTTTCAAGCATCAACTTCTAATGCTTCCGAATATTTTATTTTATTAGTTTCATATCAATGTCGTATTACTACACATAATAGTTAAGTTAATTTAGTTTTCAGAAGCAATTTCTATTGTACTTAAAGGTGAGAAGAATAACATATCTATTATTAATTAGTTAAAAGCTAATCAATATTAAGTCTTATAAATAAACAAAAAAAAGATCTCTTCTTAATTACAGCATATGTTTAAAAAATATTTACAATATATTAGAGTTTCTTTTTTTTTTAAATATTAACAAAAATATACCATCGATTGACTTAGTATTAAATGTATTGATTTAGCAATTTGAATCTGATAAATGAGTTGCAAAAACTAATCGAACGAATTCATAAACACATTTGACTATTTTCTTTTTCAATGAAATATATCATATGAATAGATTGTTGCATTGGTAACTTTATAAATATTGATTCTAATGATTGAAGCATTTATTGAATTTACGATAAAAAAATCTTTTCAATAAATCATACATCTACGTCATTGCTATAAATAAATGAAATGAAATTTTATATATTACTGGAAGTTGAAAAGTCATTTTTTTCTCTTTTTTCTAATTAATTAAGAAACTATCTCTATAGGATATCCGGTAAAATTAGCTTATCATTTGTTTTTATATACGAAAAATTTCAAGTTCTAAAAATAATATTTAATTCACATGTCAATTGTTTTCAAATCATGATGAAGAGCAGCATGTTCAACAATAATGAACATTAATTTCAAGTACACAACTTGAAAATGTACTATCAATAGTGCTGATGATATATTCAATTAGAGACATTATGCCAAAATCATTCGACCGGAAGAATGAGTTCATATCAATTGAAGAAAAATGTATCCCGACGAATAGTGAGGGTCCACCACGCTCATACCAATATCCTCATCTATCGGACGTTCCTTATGAATAGTCTCCGAGTCATAAATATGCACAACCACAAGCAAAATTTATTTTTGATATTAATTTCTTCCTCTATATGACATCTTTTTTATATAGATCTGATTAGACATATTTTAAAAATACTTTTTTTTTACTATTATAAATTAAATTTACTTGTAGTTTCAAATCTAATCAATCGAGTATATACATATTCCTTTCTTTTTCACATAATGATTTCTTTGTAATCTTACAATAATACTCAAATTATTTACATCATCATTCAATTATTTGATATGAGTAGATCAATTACCATAAATAAATAGTAAATTTTTGTTCAATAAGTTGTATTTTTATTTGTTACTATGAATAATAAAATAAAAAGTTCATCAGAAAAGGTTAAATTTACATATAGTACAATAACAAAAAAAAGCATGTTCGTCAATCGCCTACGTAGTAATCATAAACAGAACAGAGCTACAGGTGAGATATTTAATTTCCTCTTGCCAATTCCATTTTGTTATTATAAAAAAAAATCTGTGTTGAAAAAAAATACGACGACATACAATTTAATATTATATTTTTTTTTGGGTGCTCTATTCATAATTTTAGTAAATCAATACGTTGTTCTCGGTTTTTTTTAGATGCGTAAATATAAAAGAATCAATAACAAAAAAAAAGCCGAAATTAGACAAACAATCGTAGAATTGTTACAATAAAGTGACACTCTTCAAGGCTCTAGACAGCCCTATTTTTCCTCTTAGCTGTGCTTGACAAGTAATGTAAATGAAGAAAAAAAAGTGAAAGAAGAGGAGTACAGAGAAAAAAAGAAAAGTATTGGAAAGAGAACAACGTAATTAGAATTTAAAAGAGAGAAGGGCAAATTATTTCTACTACGTTTTTAAACTTTGATCGACTCAGGAACATTTCTTTATCTCATCTTGTATATTTAAGATGATTAAGATTTAATAAGTAAGAAGTATTCCTAGGTATTATAGCTTGTAGTTATTCTATAAATAATCTTAATCGTCTTTGAATAAGATAAATAATCTTGACTAGTAATCAATATTCTCATCTAAATGATTGATATTTATATAAATAGAAAGAAAGAAGGATAGAAATAGTAATAGAATACATAAAATAGATGCAAATATGTAATCATAAAATCAAAGAAATTTGTTTTCACCTGCGATATTACCTTTGATAAGCTTTTAAAATAACGTT